TCTAAAACTACTACTGATGATTATCCTTCTAACAAAATAATAGGAATCCTTTCTTCTCTTCATGATGACATAAAGAATTTGAATCAGAAGGATGTTGAACTTCCCAACACACCTATATTAACAAAAAAGGATGGTATATTTTATTTTAAAAATAGAATTTATATTCCTCCCATTCTTAGGAATAAATTACTTAAAATGGTTCATGATTCACCCCTAGCTGGACATCCTGGAATAAAAAAAACTCTTGAACTAACTTCACGATAGTATTGGTGGCCTCGCCAGGATAGAACCATTGAATTATATGTCAAAACTTGTCCTATCTGTCAAAGGTCCAAACCTGAACATAATCAACCTTTTGGATTACTACTTAACTTACCTATTCCAGAAAAACCTTGGCAATCCATTTCTATGGATTTTCTCGTTGATCTCCCACCTTCTCAACATTTCACCACTATTCTTGTCGTTGTGGATCGCTTCACAAAAATGTCCCATTTCATCTCTTTAAAAAAATTACCCTCCTCCGTAGAATTGTCTAAAGTCTTTATTGATAATATTGTGAAACTTCATGGTCTTCCTGAAGAAATTATTTCTGATAGGGGGACACAATTTACCTCCAAATTCTGGAAAGAGATGTGTCTCTCCCTTCAAATTCAACGCAAACTCTCTTCCGCCTATCATCCCCAAACTAATGGGCAAACAGAGAGGGTTAATCAATGTTTGGAACAATATCTTCGATGTTATTGTTCATACCTCCAAGATGACTGGACCACATGGTTACCTATAGCCGAATTTTCTTACAACAATACCATTCATTCTAGTACGAAAATGACTCCTTTCTTCTCCAACTATGGTTTTCATCCGTCTTCATTTCCCATCCAAACTATTACTTCATCCAATCCTACTGTTACATCAAAAAACGAATTTATGTCCTCTCTATTTCTCAAATTACGGGAGAATCTTCAACTCGCCCAAAATAACCAGAAAAAAGTTTTTTGACAATAATAGAAGAATTCCCCCTCCTTACAAAGTAGGGGATCTTGTCTGGCTCTCTTCAAGGAATATTACCACAAACCGTCCTTCAAAGAAATTGAGCTCTCTTTTTCTTGGTCCCTTTCAAGTAATTACAATCATTAATGATAACGTTGTTAAACTAAAACTTCCTCCAAGTTTTAAACTTCATCCAGTATTCCATGTCTCTTTGCTTAAACCACACATCCCTGATCCTTTTCATAGAGAAATAGTAACAACTCCTGAACCTATCATTGTCCAAGGTGAAGAAGAATATGAAATACACAATATTTTGGATTCACGTGTCCACCGTGGCTCCTTACAATACCTTATTAGATGGAAAGGTTATGGAGTTGATGAAGACACTTGGGAAGATTCATCTAATGTACATGCAAGGAGGTTAGTTGCTGCATTTCACAAACGCTATCCCTCCAAACCGAAATAGTGCACCCAGAGGATGCCCCATGAGAAGGGGGTACTGTCAGGTATAGCCTGGCATGCATTCCGCCGTCGGAACCCACTTCCGGGTTCACAGCGCTTAGCCCCGCCCCTTTTTCTGACGCGGTCCTTCCACGATACTTAGGAAGACCGCGCCAGATTCAAAGGGCTGGATTATTTGCACAGGTGCCTGCAAAGAGATCAGCTGCTCTACTTTGATCCTACCTGCTCCACTCCTAGACCTCGGCTTGTAAAATGGATTTCTACCTTCTCCACTCCTAGACCTCGGCTTGTAACACGGAATTCTACCGTCTCCACTCCCAGACCTCGGCTTGTTAAAACGGACTTCCACATTCTCCACTCCTAGTCCTCGGCTTGTTAAAACGGACTTCTAATTTCTCCTCCATTGGGTGAATTAACCCTTCCAGTGCCAGAACTGCTTTTTAAGTTAAGTAAAACTTTTGCCAAACAAGCCAATTCCTATTACTTATATTACACAGTATCTAAAAGCTCACTAAAGTGTCATTTTGTCAAGTTATTCCTCTTATTCATAAGGGACTGCTGCCAAGACTAATTCTTTTCTGCAATAATCAAATTATTCTAATTGCAAGCCTGTCCAGCTTCATTAATAATTTTCTCATAAATTATTCCATCTTAATTAAGTTGGAAACTAACACTGCCTATTTCCCTGCATGTGTATTTAAAGATCCAGTAACCATTGTTTCATATCAGTATAAAAAGAGGTGAAACTTATTGTTGCTGCAATCAGAAAATTCTGCAGTTGAGTTCCAATTAAATAAGTATTACAAGAGTAAAGCTAGATCTCTCCTCCAGGAGAGTATAGCTGGGTCTCTCCTCCAGGAGAGTATAGCTGGGTCTCTCCTCCAGGAGAGTATAGCTGGATTTCTCCTCCAGGAGAGTATAGCTGTATAGCTGAAGAGAGCTCTTACAAGAGCTAGCAGTGATATAGCAGTTATAGCTGTTCCCTACAACACGAGACGAGGCTGCGAGTTGAGGGTAAGAAGGTCTGGTTTATTGAGCAGCTTGCATTTTTTTAATACAGATTTTCAGGCCAGAGGCACACCCCCTGGACCTGATGGAACACAGGGACACAAGGAACATAAACCAATAAAAAAACATAGTTTTACCTTCAGTCACTCCCATACAGTGTACACAATCCCTCCCCTCTGCCTGTGATACAATTAACAAAGACAATGGGCTAACTTAATTAACTCTAAACAGAAAAAACATACATTTTTACAAACCCCAAAAAGTACCCCAAAATACAACATATCCCCTGATAGCCCCGATCTGGGTAAACAACATATCCAAAAATCACCCAGATCGGTTCAGGGGTTCAGAAATTTCATGGATGTCTTATTTTTGCCCCACCGTGCACATGGTCCCATGTCCAAAACAGTTCCATACACTCAATGGCAAAACACTGGTGGCCAATTTAAGATGGCCGCCGCCCCAGTTTGAATCTGTTCCAGTTACAAGTCCAAGTGGCAGAAACAGTACTTTTGAACATGGGTTATCACAGGGGCCATAGTCCCAGGGTAGTAGGCTGGCAAACAGGCCCCTCCTAAAACCAGTGGCAAAGTGTAATTCATCACACTAGAACTTACAACTTACAAACTCCACCAGGAGGCAATTCCTTTTTAATCTGCTTGCAGGGCCAGGACTGGGGGAAACGAAGCCTTGGAAAAAAAAATTGCCAGCCTCATAAGTCAATGCGCCATATATTGTCGCATGTAATATGTAAGGCTATGTCTTGCCACCCCAGATGATTGAGTAATATATATATATATACATATATCAAATATATATTGCTTTTTCTAATATAAAATATTGGTCCTTTCAAAGTAAATGTTTAATTATACAGTAAGCATACTCACATGCAGACACAGACAATCTCACTGACACACACAAGCTCATTGATACACAGCCTCAAAGACAAACAAACAATCTCACTGACATACATAAGCTCATTGACATAAAAACACAAGTTCGCTCAGTAGCAGGCACACACGCACACCCACACACATGCAAGCAAGTTCACTCACTACCAGGCGCACACATACACACACACACACACAGCTTAATGTAGTGGTTCTGGTGTCTATAGCCTGTCCCTGCAGGCTTTTCAATGTAAACACTGACTTTTCAGACACAGACAGACACACCATGGCAATACTTATTGCATGGTCAGCCAGAGAGATTGGTGTGTAGTCCCAGAAATCAGGTGGCACAAACACTCCAGGACGGTCTCTACAATCATACAAACACAAGGATCAATACAACATTCATTAATTAATTACCTAGGCTAAAACTTAAATTAGAGATTAGGGTTAAACCCTTAACTTGTGTAACATGTACTTCTCTTATATTTGCTTATATTTTATGCAATCTGTCTTCTATGAAGTTTTACATAATACCCCTTTGGAATGCCTTTGCACGGATGAGAGTAGCACTCACTCTATAGAAATGGATAAATATTAAAACACTAACATATACATATACATTCCCAATAAAACTCTGTTCCTAAACTTGAACCTTGATTTGATACTCAAAATTAATTACTTTAATAATCCCAAATAATTCAATACTCTTGGATTAACACCTAAAACGATATAAAATATTAAAAACATGAACCATCTGTGTATTAGGCTGGGGTTGTTGGGTGTGGGTATAGGTTGGAAGCTGTGGTTGGTATTGATGAATCTGTGGGGGTGGGTTTGGGCACTCATTTTTAAAGTGACCCTGCTATCCACAATTAGAACAGTGTGTTCCACCAATGCTGAAGTTGCTACCTCTACAAAAGTTAGACCCTTTGACCAAATCCTCTACCTCTGCCTCTAAAACGTTTCTGATTCAATCTCCTATCACCTCCCAAATTTCTTTGTCTCGTCTGCTTAGGATCACAATCCTTGTGACTGATACAACATACCTTTTCCCTCTTTCTTTCTATCAAAACAACCTGCTGTATTTTTCTCATGAATCTTCCCAAGAAATTCATTTGGGGTCAAAAAGGGCCAGTCACAGACCAACAAGGAACAAAAGTGAACAAGGAGGAAGCATATTCCATATGCAGGTCGGGATTACCGAACTCACACCCCCTCTTTGTGTACCACACAGATATAATATTAATAAGCTTTTAAAGGTTTAATGGATAGTTAAATTGTGTATATAAAGCAAGGTTGTCTAGGGGTATATACATCAACAATGAAAGCATAGCCTTCATATAGGGCTTGCAATACCGACAGTCTGTGTCATGAGCGTAATGCAGACATGCGGTTAGGTACTTTTCCATTGTTATAATATATTGAAAACACTAAGACTTTGCAAATTTTTTAAACGCATATTGCTTCCTGTACCTGGTGCCGTGCAAGGATGTAGCTGGGACATATTTCAAATTGAGTATCAAAAGTCTAACCACAAAACTAAATGTTATACGCTTATCAAGAAAACAAGTTTAACCCGTTAGTGCGCACTTTGAATAGCCTCTTTGCATAATTTGGCTCCTAGTGATATTATTATATTATTTATTAATCCTCTTCTGGATCTGCAAAATGCTTTCAATTTACCCATACAAATATAATACAGTAGTTTAGGAGATTAAGATTACCTCACTTATAAATTTCAGAAATTGTCTAATCTCTATTAAAAATACCATTTTATTATTACCCCATAATCAATGAGGCATACTAGATGAATCTTACTTTGACACAAACAATGCAATATACTTTAAAAGTAGAGTTAACTCTGAGCTGGACAATACTCCCCTATTAGAACTCCTTTATGATGGAGAGACATCTTGTCCATTCAATCCTTTTTATCAGTAAAAGAATGACTTTCAGGATTAATCAATTTGCAAATGGAAACGTGGATCCACGATTTGAACAGCAGAAGTTTGCGGGGCCCCTTTCACGTGGGATGTAACAAGCGCTTTTCTTGCTCCAGGAGCGATAGCATACAATTGTTTCATTCTAACCGGCTGGACAGCATTTCACCTTTTGTAAAAACACTAAATGCTTGCGTTAATGATATACAAATCACTCTGCTAGTTAAACTCCTACACAATGGACAATAAAAAACATGAAACACATAACACACCAATTCATTTCAAACCATATAAATCAGCATCCAATGTAATATTACACGTCATCATCTCACAAAACAGACATAGTATAAACACATAATGGATACCCAGCAGATATGCCAATACAGAAAACACATTCATGGGCACGCAACTACACACTCTGTGTCCCTCCTAGGAAACACCGGTAGACACAATATGAAAGCAGTCTTAAACTAACACCTCCAAATCTCCATTTCCATAAAGCTATATCAGACCACAACACAGAGCCTCTCTGAGCTCATGGAACTACTCCAACTCCAACTACTCTTGGCCAAAACGCTAGTATTCAACAGCTAATAAAACAGTTATTTGCTAGGTTATTTGGCTGGCATTTGTATCAGTATCACTAGACTGAGACAAACTGATTCAAATATAATTTAAAACAACACAGCAACAAATAAATTAAACCACTTTCCAGTTAAGCTGCACACTTCACACAATCACCATTTACACAGAATAAACAGTTAACAGCTGTACTCAGAACATATTATTGTTAGGTATACCAATTTTAGTTTGTATTAGATTTATTTTAGGGATTCTTATGCATACATGTTTTTTTTTTTTAATTAACTTCATTACTTTAATCTACTATAGTATTGTATATAAAGAAATGATCCATTTATATAGCACGCTCATAACTCAAATATTTGTATGAAACTTCCATTAACTAATCTGAGATGATGCTGCATCAATTTAAATCTTATAGAAATTGTGCAAACATCTGGACCAGATTACACAGACATGGTTTCACCCGAATCTTTCAGAACTCTCAGAGACTTAAATTTTTTTTATACTATGTCATGTTAAAAGGCATGGCAAACCTTAGACCGGTCAGTCTCCAAGAGCCTTAGTAACACAGGTAGAAACCTTTGTCCATGAGCTCTGATCCAGGCTATATACCACAATTTAAAAGAACACATATAATGTGAGATATAGAAGACACAAAACATATGCAGTAGGTATTGCACTGGATCATTTCAAGCATCTGTAGCAATAAAAAGGTTAGCTTAGAGCACAAAATGAAGCATGTGTTGGACCGCTGAAAATTTAAATGTTGCTCTCTTATTTACAAACAAAAATCATATTTACAGTATGGATCCTTGGCAACAAACACACAGGGCAGGGAAGATGTGCTGATTGGTGTTCTATACAATTAATCCCAAATGGAGAATTAACTTTCAAATACTAATGAAGTGACTTGTTGTCTCAGTTATAAAAATACTGAGCTCATCATGCAAACAATGTAACACATTTACACTGTCCCACTCTTATAAAAAGTGTAGTGGGCTTATGGTATTAAAGTAACAATCATACCAGGCACACAGATCCCATGTGAAATAACTTACAATATAGAGTAATAAACTATACTTCTTTGCAACAGAAAGAAGAAAGCAAAAGATTTAAGTAGATCTATCAGGTACAACCTGCGAGTCCGTTCTTTTCTAATATACAGTACTGGTATCTTATATTTATATATATATATATATATATATATATATATGTATATATATATATATTGGTCACTCAGGACCTGAACTCACATTTCCCATACTGCTGACTCAGGGCGGACACACTACCAACTTACCAAAGTGTGTCCCCAATATAGACAATCACCCACAGGAAACACTTAAGACAAACAAAGGTGACCAGGAGAAAGAGAAGTTTGGGGTATACTTATAGATCTATAAACCATGCTCCTCACAACACCTATAGTCTAAATACACTGGAGACCTCTTATGGTCTCAAAACCTATATCTACCTGAGATACCCTGTGTCACGAGCGTGGGCTATAGGCCCAGCCGAGATAGTGGGGAGAGTGTGGAAGTGACAGGGTTAATGACACCAGACTCCTGGTTACCTGTTGCTAGTCCCAGCAACCACTCAATTAACCCCTGCAATCCCTTCTACACTAACCCCCTAGTACACACTTTACTGCCACCACCAAGACTTTTAAACCCGGGCGTCTTAGGTTACCCCACACACAGGAGAATTATAGTATCACAGTTCTACTTTTACTGATCAAACACATATAATTAACCCTTTTTGGTAACGTGTTTACCTGAGCTTTCCTCTGGAGAGTGAAGCTCATAGAGAACAGAGACACAAGCTGATTAAGTGAACATTTAATCTGACAAAAAAGATTCACAGTGCTGAGTACAAAATACAGAAATAAATTACATACAGATAACAAATTGCAAAACAGTACATAAAATAAAATAGGAGAAAACACGAGAAATTCCTTACATGTATTTACCCCATATAGAATTCCTGTGGGAGTCTTAGATGGTATAGCTCCTAGAAGTTGCTGACCAAAGAAAGAATGAATAACTCCCTGGATCGTCCAGCACCCTCATTAATATATCTAAACTAGTTGTTGCTCAGTGGGCAGACCCCTGGGGGGATGGGGGGGGATCAGAGGGGGTTGGTCTGGCAGTTTATTGCCCACTCTATGAAATTCCTTGTGTCCAGCTCTGGTGATGGCTATCTAGATGTTTTATGGTCTAGGCCTGGTGCCAGATCAAAGACCACAATAAATGTCATCCCAAGGTTTACAAAAAAACAACTCTTAACATATATCAAAACATCAAACACCAACTCATGCTTTTGGCATGACACCCTGTATCTGTCTTAGATACTAACCTGGGTTACCAAAACCCTATAATAAACTGGAGTCCTCTTATGGTCTCAAAAACCTGTATCTACTAGATACTAACCTGGGTTACCAAGAACCCCTATATATATTTAGACCAAATGTCTAATAAACCGGAGACCTATTTATAGTCTCAATATAACTAAAGTCCTTACACTTTTCCTTTCTACTGGATACAGACTTACTGAACCAAAGGGGGTCATAGACAATCAGCGTCAATGAGACACAAAAAGGCTACTTACCCAATGGCTTTGCTGATACCACTTCTGACACCAAGCTGAAAGGGTTAATGCTGTTCTGGACTCAACTCCCCTCGATTCTCGATTCTCCGGTCACCATAATCAATGCTGATGGAGAATCATTGCTAGCAATAAAGACACGGACACCACAAATGTGCTTTAACAAGATTCTCAGTGAGTATATTTTCAGGGCTAGCATTTATACACAGTTTGTCACGCAAGCAGCGAGATTTATCTCTTCCTTATAGTTAATAGTACATACTTGTCTGACAGTAAAAGATAAGCATTTGAATAAAGACAGGACAGGAACATCCTGAGATCGAGCAAGGTTCGCACATCCTCTAGAAGGAAGACCTTGGTACAAAATACATCTGCCAAAGTCAGCATAATTATTTCAAACATTATTTTAAAGCATATAAAGCAAAAAGAGTTTAACTATTTCATATCCTTACAATCAGCACTAATCATTATAAACCTTATCTAAGCATAAAATACATATGAACAAGAAAACCTAACTACTTCATATTCTTACACTGAGGGCCATTCTCAAACCAGTTTATAATCTCTAGACAAGTAGGGTAAAATGACACAAGAGGTAATGCCCTAATTTAAGCCCTAAATAGAGACTGCCCCTTCTAAATAGGGAAACTTAGGAGGTATGCACAGTTGCTGGACACAAGGTGGGTTAGTGAGGTGTGGGGAGGGGAGGGGAGGGAAAGCTGCTAACAGTTTAAATGGAATGACTTCTATATGTCAAATCCCTTAAAAACACTGTTTGCAAATATGTGAGAACAGGAACAGTAAAACAACTTTATCAAATTACTAGTCAGTATATTCAAACGCCCTATGTGTTTTCTTAGATCAGTATCCAAAGTACTCGTATGAGCTTGCCAGTTCTGTAGGAACATTTTTGTGTTGCCTGCTTTGTGTGAGACAGTTTGCAGCCAATCCATTGTAAATACACAGAATCATTTGGACAGTAATGTAGAATGGATTTTAATACAGTACCTGAGGTAATTTTCATGAATTTTTAATGATGTTTAATTGAGTCAGACAATATACCATATACCGCTGCTTCAGGGATATCAAAGTATTATTAATATATTCCAGAATTGTTAGATCTGAGTACATGGCCATTAACAGTGAAGCAGACCTGATACATTTCATTGTTGTTACGGTACCTTCAGTAATAAATGTACAAACCGCCGTTTAGTGAATGCTCCCCGTTCGCAATAATGTTGTCTGTAAGCGTATGCAATACAACCATGCGAACTGCCAGCCAGGGAACACTCCAAACTCCCGAACGGTATCCGTACGGCTCCTTCCCTTCACGAGCCACAAGTTCACGAACTGCCAATATCAGCCGAACGCCAATATCTCCCAAGCGGCTAATAATCTCATCCAGCAGTCTCTAGTCGCCGATAATAAAATCCCCCCAATAACGAGACCGAGCTCCGCATTGAGGGTAAAACATGAACTGAGTTTACGGTGGGCTACCTGCCCATATTTATGCAGGTCTCCCACTTGGTGGACACTCCCCTACGGGACCAAATGGGAGACTGGAATAGCAGATGGACATGGGAACATTTCAGACATACAATCACACAATATTCCCAGCATGCATCACAGTTTCCTCCCCTCTGCTCGGGAGATAATTGAGAAGTAATTCAATTATCTCCCAGAGCAGAGGCAAATCGCCATTTTAAATACAAGTCACAAAACACATAAAAATATATAACTTTATAACTGCCGAACATATTACATTCGTGTAACAC